AGCATCTTTAAATGTGCAAGACTTCTTGCAGCACGACATATTAACCAGTTTTATAGGGTTAATTACAAAGAAAGCACAAACTAAAGTGCGCGAGCGCAAAGCACAAACCACAAAACGGCAGAAATAAAAAGCAACAGTACTACGCTGAGCGACGCTAAGCGAAAGCTCTGATGCAAATTGGAGAGAGCGGGGGTACAACAACAATTAAGTGAGCGCGATGCAAAAGAAAAAATGCACTGAAACACATACACAAACTTAAAGTCAAAAGAGAGACGCCAGAAAAACGGCAGGCAGAAAAAATAAGTAATAAGGCACTAACAACAAACACAGCAACAGAAGCCAAAATATTAAATAATAAATTTTTATACTTATCGCTGCACAAGTTATCACACCAAACACAACACAGTGTAGAGAATACAAAAAGCAAGCTTTATATGCCCAATTATAAATTTAAGTTCCAAAAGAACAACCAAAAATTAAATAAAATTACGGAGCACAAAAAAGACGAGTCCTATAGACTCAAGAGAAAGCTCTCTCTTGTATGTTTCTCTTTACTTTTTCAACCGTACCTAGAGAACCGCCCACATAGACACGAACTGTTGCTTGTTGTGTGTGTGAGTGTGTGTATGTGATGTCCCCAACTATTTGATATTTGTTGTTGCTGCATAAAGTTATTAATGAAAACCCTAATGCCAAATGCACTAAACAAAGAAAAAATTACTTTTAAAAATGTTATATAATTTTCAATTAATTAACATTTCTTGCTCTGTCAGTGCAAGACGAATGTACATACATACATATGTAGATACATATGTACATACATAGATGTGCACATATGTATGGACATTCACACATTAGTGTCTCACATTTTGCTTTGGCTATTTCAATCGTTTGCACGTAACTACACGAACAGCTGTGTGTTGTGTAAACTTAGTTGTCCCCAACTGTTTGATATTTTGTATTGTTTGTTCTGCCTGCTTTTGTAAAATGCATATTTTGAAAATCCTTACCCAAATTTTAAATCGATCGGACTAAATTTATAACACAAACTTTTCAATTGAAATAGTGAATAAATATTAAAACCCCAATAATTCAAGCAACACAAATTTCGAAAATCTAAGTACGCAGTTTTGTTTATTCTTTAATTTATTTTAGAAACTAAGTTTTAAGTCGATCTGTTGAAAAATGCGGATTTTTCAAACAAACTTTGGAGCTACTTTCCCCCCTTTGGAGCTTGAATTTTCCAAAATCCCTTCTTAGTGGGCACCTAGACTATGAAAGGATACTTGAGTCAAAATTTCAGCTTCCTAGCGTTTACCGTTTGGGCTGTGCGTTGATCACCAATCAGTCAGTCAGGACAAACTGTTTTATATATATAGATAACCTTTAATTAAAAAGATAAAAGATATAAAAATGAAAGCCAATCATATGAAATAGTTTGAGCCACAGCTCCTAATCCCCCTAATAAAGCATAGTTTGAATTACAAGATCAACCAGCAACCATTACAGTATAAACACCTAAGCTCCTAAACTAGTAACGGTATTCTTGGACTCTATGATTTTTGCCCAAGCAGCTTAGACATAATCTTTGCATTGCCCAGTTCAGTCTTTCTGGGGCTGATTTTAGTTTAAATTTGTCGCATTAAAAAATGTGGTGGTTACGCTAATCATGGGCTGTGGCCCATGCGTATGCCTTCAATTTTTCCTTATTTCCTTGCTTACCAGAAAGCGTTGCTCCAGGAAGGACTTAAACACTTCTAACGATTGGAGTTGCAGTGTATCCAGTATGGAGTGCCCATACAAAGTATGAGTTTAGTGGTCCAATTTCTTCGTTAAGATGTACAGCAAAATTGGAACCCACGAATGGGTGCTTTTATTCATATTTTTCAACGCATCCATTGTTTCCAAACAGATATCAATAGTCAAACTGCCCGACAGCGAAATCTCTCCTACGTAGATTCAACTGGCACAGCTTCGCGATGTTTAGCCGAAAGGATGTGTTCCGTCACCTTGCTTCGTTGAGGTTTTTTGGGATTCTTTGAGCACGACAAGAGCTGCTGCCCAACGAATGCTTGAAGTTTTCCTTCGTTGAGGGGTCTAGGGCTTCCTTGAGGGCGACCAAAACGACTGCCCAACGAAGTTCGATTAGTCGCCTTGGTGTTAGTCAACAAACAACCTTTGCAATCAAGTTACGTCCTCAATGGTTGTGATCCTGTGTTAAGGATCACGCCGGGGTCACCAAAAATATGTTTTTGTTTTAACCCTTAGCAATAAACTAGTGGCTGAGAGTTGTACTCGTGAAATATGAATCACTTGTACTTGGAGAAGCTGAAAAGAAAGGTGAGACCAAAACGTGGCAGCCGGTTGGTGGTTGTTCTATGCACATGTGCGGCCGTTATTCTAACAATAGCTTTGAATAACTGCCTGCGTTGCCTTCGTGTGCACATGCACGGCTCATGCGTATCTCATGACACGGTCAAGTGCGAGTGACATTGACAGTACAATGAACTTCATTGTTAAGGGACACAGATGAACACCAACAGAGTCATTTAAAGTTAAGCTTATTCTGTGGATATATTCTTGCAATGTACAACAGCAGATTTTAAAAAATAAAACAAACTTGCACAGCGTACACACATAAGGCATCTTTGTACAAAATTTGGTGACTCTTCTTCTTATAGTCTGAGATCCAGGTGCTCATACGAAGACAGACAGACAGACAGAGCTAGATTGACTCGTCTTGTCATGCTGATCAAGAATATATGTACGTTTTTCACCTCCCTTCAATGTCGTTGAATAATTCATTCGGCATTTTAAACGGTGCGCCGTATAGCATTTCTGGTGCAGACGCCTGCATGTCGAGTTTGTAGCATCTAACTAGCACAGTAATAAGTTCCATACATAACGTAGACTCGAATTGAGAACCTCGGTTGTGCCGAAACGAGCTATCCAATGTGTCCTTAATGCCCACAACCGTCTCTGCAGTAATGTCGCGTAGATTTTGTATCGTTAAAAAATAACAAAAACCTTGTTGAAATAGCAATACTACTATTTCCATGTGAACAAGTTCGTATCTGTTGTCGGGATCGTCAATTTTTCGAGGATTCATAGGAGACAGTTTCTACACCAATATTAAATGTCTTTATTTATGAATGGCCAGATGTTCACCTGATGAAACAGACTTCTGAAAATGATTGCGTTGTTATTGTTACGAATTGATTTTCATTGATTGTTCCTCACTCAGTTCAGTCAGTAGCTTGGGCTGCCTCTATACTGAAGAAACTAATTGTGTCTGCAACTGCGTTTGGTTTGGCTTTCACATGTATGTATGTATGTATATGATATCTAGTTGCCTCAGCTGTCTATCGGATGGTCTGGTTCTCTGGTCGTTGATTGAAAGTAAAGGTCAATGGCTTGTGATCCGTTTTAATGGCAAAAACGCGTGCTTCGAGAAGACGTTTGAAATGTCACTTCGTATATAGCAAGCAAATTACGATCGTATTATTTTCAAATCAACCTTGTGCCAAGGACAACAACACAAAATTAAGCCAGCAGACTTTTCTTAGTTGCGACACATAATGCTGAGAATGTTCAACACAGGATATGATTCGACAATGGCAGAGCAACGATCCCGGAAAAAGTTTCATCTGAACGTGATCAACCAGCAGCTAGTCTGGATTTTGAAACTTTTTGAACAGTGAAAAAAACGTATATGTATATTTTAAGTTCGAATTCCGTTTAAGTGACAAAAGACAGCAAAATAATTTATAGAAAATATATTTCAATAAAAATAAAATATTTGAAATCAGATTTACCATATCATTAAATAGTTCAATTTTATTCGTCTTCTGAATAAAAAATATAAAAAAAAAAACAGAAATTAAAATCAGAAACTAAACTGAGCAGGGTTCGTAAAATGATAGCAAAAATCAATCGGATACATGAGAAATTCTGCCGCGGGTCGCATTGAGTCGCTGCCGACTGAAGCAGACAGAAGCCGACAAAAGCAGAGCCTTCTGGCAGAGAAAAGAAATCGCATGCGCCGATTCCCGCGCTATTATATTCATATATGTATATATATACATACTTGTCTGTGCCACCCTTCCGCGCTTCCTCAGCACGGTGCACACACGGTCGAGTTATCTGCGAAAAGCGGGACTCGTCGGGACTGTTCCGCGCGGGACATTTAATTTTCATTTAAAAATCGGGACGTCCCGTCAAAATCGGTAGGTCTGGCAAAGCTTCAATAGAAACCGAAAGTAGTGAAACATGCATCGCGGGTCATTTTGATTTGCTTTCTGTAAAACATTTATTTCAATGTAAATAAAATACATTCGATTTTGATATATCAAAACCTTTCGCCTAAACAGTCAATCTAGATTTTATTATTTAAAAAGAAATAGCTCAACAAAAATGTTAAGCCCAAATTTTTTATTTGACAGTATTTTTGTATGCGTATTGATTTTAAAACGTATACATAGAAATCAAGTTGTTAGCTCACAAATTTAGTATGCACACATTTCAACAAATTCTACCAAAACAAAAATCCTATAAAAGAATATTTGTTAGTGCACACACTTCGACAAAACAAAACTCTAGAAAATACTAAGAATATAATCGATTGCTTCAATGCAATTATAAGTGTGATCGATTTAATATTTGTATTTATCCATATCACAATACATATTTATAAATTCAAGTAGACCGGTTTGGCATCCATTTTGTAGATGTGCGTACTGATCTTAGAGCAAAAGGATGTTATTAAATAACCCATTCTTTTTCACTGGTTAATAATGAGCTCTAATATTACTCTCTTCACTCGGTGATATTCATTGTTTTAGATAATTTGAGCATTAGAAGTCAAAACCCGCGGTTTGCTTTGCAGCGTTGCCATATATAACTTTTTTCTCCCATACACAATCTGCATTTATTTTTTGCTATTTTGTCACACGTGTGAATTGTGATTATACGTGTGGCAAAAATGGACAAATGGACGGTGGTTTTACTCATCTCTAGTTGTTGTTTGTAATTTTTCTGCTACAAATCAAAACAAAGTAGTTAAATTTTACTTTCTCAAAACAAATTTACTGCGTATACAATTACTCTTATTTACACCGCTATGGTAAAATTGTGTGTACATTAGACCGGAACATTAGTTGAAACAATAAAGTATTTCAACATATACTTTCCATACCCGCAAATGGAGCAACAGAAAAGCACCCACGTCTCTAAACTGTTCATGTGCACCGTCGTTGACTGCAAAGATGAAATTGAGGAGGTAAATTGCGGAAGCAAAGTACATAATCTGTTTATTAATTGTCTTGTTTGTGTTTATTATAGAAATTCGAACGTTCGTATCTCAGCCTGCAGCAACAGATTGCGGGCCTTAGTGATAAGGAGATGCACGACATGTTGTCACAGTTGGTGTGCAAAGACAAGCAGCATGAAGAGATCTCTATTGGATTCCTTTACATAATGTTGACTGAACCAAGCATTGCCCCTAAAACATATAGAGATATAACTCTCGTATGTAGAGACGGCATAAATGTGATCGTGGCAAACTTAACGTTGCTGGTTGTTGAAAAGTATGCCAAGCTGTCGGAAATTGCAAGGAGGCAACTAATTTGGGTATTACGAGAATTTGTCAAGCATCAAGTGCTAAGCGTCGAAAATGTAATTTGGAACTGTTTGCGACAGGCAGGTGGCGGAGATGTGTCGCATAAGAACCTGTTCCTAGTTGAAAGTCTGCTGGATATATTTATCGAATATAGATCCTGGCTGGAAACCAATCCGTTTCTCGTTCAATCCGTTGTGTACAGTTACGTACGACTCATAGAAGATCATGCCAACCCAGCATTGTCAACTCTCCGCCAAAAAGAAGTAAAGTTTACGGTTTCGTTAATACGGGACCGTTTTCAGGACATTATACCATTAGGTAGAGATTTTGTGCGGTAAGTCAATTTCTGAACGTATTAATAAATTTTGCCATAAAAAAATTAAATCCTTTAATTATTGCTTAAAACTAAGAAAAAAAAGGTGTAATAGTTTTTATAGCCTGTACCCAAAGGGTGAAAGGCTATACTAGTTTTGTGCGCATGTATGTAACACACAGAAGGAGGCGTGGCAGACCCCACAAAGTATATATATTCTTGATCAGCATGACGAGACGAGTCGATCTAACCCTGCCTGCCTGTCCGTATGAACACCTGGATCTCAGAGACTATAAAAGGTAGACACCAAACTTGCAAAAAGATGCGTTATGTGTGTAGACTGTGCAAGTTTGTTTTGAAATTTGGCATACGGACACATAATAATTAACTGGGGGTATTTCCCAAATTTGAGTTCGAAATTCTAAGAATTACGGGAGTTACGATACACATTTTCTGCATATTCACATAAGGTATCTTGGACTAAAATTTGGTGTCCCTACGAATGGATAATCGGGAAAACGCCCATAGGGGGGAAGTGGGGGGAAAATCAAAAAATAAAACAAACTTGCACAGCGTACACACATAAGGCATCTTTGTGCAAAATTTTGTGTCTCTAGCTCAGACAGACAGGGCTAAATCGACTCGTCTCGTCATGCTAATCAAGAATATATATACTTTGTGGGGTCTACCACGCCTCCTTCTGCCTGTTACATTTTCAGCTCCCGCAAACCTAATATACTCTTGTACATTTTATGTACAGAGTATAAAAACTTGTGACAAAATTTCAGCTTCCTTGCTTTTACCGTTTGGGCTGTGCGTTGATCGCCAATCAGTCAGTCAGTCAGGACAAACTGTTTTATACCATATATAGATATATTGAAAATTTATTTAATGTATGTAAAATGTTAAATTGATTTAATGTAATGTAATTATTTTTATTTTTGGTGATCATGCTGATCAAGAATATATATACTTTGTGGGGTCTGCCACGCCTCCTTCTGCCTGTTACATTTTCAGCTCCCGCAAACCTAATATACTCTTGTACATTTTATGTACAGAGTATAAAAAGGAAGGAGAAAAGCGAACTTGTTGCAGTTTGGGGGTGTTGTACTGGAGATAATTTGTTTCGCTAATAACTTTTCTTAGAATTGACCGATTGGATAAAATTTTAAACTAAAGTAGATAGCTGTACATAGATTGCGTGTGCAAAGTTTGGTTTATGTAGCTTTAGAAATGTGGACAGTATTGACGAAAATCTCTAGCGGGGGAAGGGGGGATAATTCCATAAAATAAAATAAACTCGTCCTTTCTCGGACCTAGGAGAATCCAGATACCAACTTTGGTTATTCTACTATTCATAGTTTCTGAGATCCTTGCGTTCATCCAGACAGACAGACGGATGTACATGTCTAGATCGATTTCTCTCGTCATGCTGATCAAGAATATATATACTTTATGGGGTTGGAGATGCTTCCTTCTGCCTATTATTCTGCCTACTGTTCATCAAAAATCAGCCGAAATCATCATTGAAATTGATGGAAATGGAATTGAACATCTCCAAAACATCGATTTATCGCATTTTGACCGAACATTTATGCTTACGAAAGGTGTGTGCACGGTTTGTTCCGCACAAATTGAGTGACGACTAAAAATTGCTCTCATCGATCGACGCTGGTGACCGATTATTTGACCATTAACATTTTAACCATTAACCACTCGCCGTATTCACCTGATATGGCACCGTGCGACTTCTACCTTTTCGGAAAAATGCATTTGCCCATAAAAGGAAAGCGTTATGCAGACGTAGAGGCCATTCAAAAAGCTTGCACCGGCATACTGCCAGCCATATAAAACATGATAAAATATTTCAATGTAAACAAGATAGAACGCTACAGTCGAGCAAGCCCGACAGTAAAATAGCCTGTACTCTCCACAAAAAAGAAAAATTAAAAAAAAAAAAAAAATTAAAAAAAAAAAATTAAATTATTAAAAAAAATGAATGAATGAATTAATTAATTAAATTAAATTAGAATACATGTTTATGTTCAGTTTTAACAGCATACATTTACATCACGTACCTATGCGTGTTCATATGGGTGTATGTATGCAGCACAAAGTTGAACAAAAGCAGCAACAACAACAACAGCTGCGGGCAGCGTTGCCGACAGAGCTGCAGGCAGCGCAGGATGTACCTACCAAAATTGATTTCAAAATTCCGAGAATTACGGAAGTTATAAGAAAAAACACGAATTGCGGGGGAGTGGGGGGGTGCATCGAAAAAAAACTCAAACTCGTACTTTCTCGGTCTTAGGAGAATATGGAAACCAAGTTTGGTTATTCTAGCTCTTATACTTTCTGAGATCCTTGCGTTCATACGGACAGACAGACGGTCAGACGGATAGACGGACGGACGGACAAGGCTATATCGACTCGGCTTCTCATCCTGATCAAGAATATATATACTTTGTGGGGTCTGCCACGCCTCCTTCTGTGTGTTACATACATGCGCACAAAACTAGTATAGCCTTTCACCCTTTGGGTACAGGCTATAAAAATATGTTGAGCTCGCGATCAATTGGGCCGGGGCCCTCTTGGTAGGGGGGCCCGTGGCATTTTGCCAGCCCTGCCACCATTGTTACGCCACTGTCTGTACATGAAATGTACAAGACATCTGGAATAAAGCAAAAGTAAAAGTCATATAAAAAGCTGGATATATTATGAGATAATGTTGACATAATTCTAGCTAAAACTTTGACTTTAATGTTTTCATTTTTGGCTTAAGGGGGAGAGCGCACATTATTAGTCTACACGAGTTTATTTTAAATTTTTTCCCCCACTCTATAGAATACTGTCCACATTTCAAAAGCTACATAAATAAACCTTTGCAGATTTAATTTATACACAACTAGCAGGTCTTGTCCGTCGTAGCTGGGCTAAGTAAGATGTGCTTAAAATTATAAGTTTAATTACTATATGATATTCTTCTTTCGAGAGAGTTCATATATATAATATAGTACTGCTATGTATGGTTATACGTACATACATACATATGTACATATCTTCGTTACGCACATGGCGCATGCCAGTCCTGACTTAACTGCGTGCCTTCTCAGCATGTTGTACGCACGGTCGAGTTATCCCCGAAAAGTCCGACGCTGGACATTTTGATTTATAAATCGGGACGTCCCGCCAAAATTGGAGCGTTCGGCAACGCTCATATGTACATATGTATTTATGAATGTAAAAGGTGTGTTTCTGCTTTTGTAAATCGCATGAATAAACTCACAAAATAGGCTTAACGATAAATGACGCTTAGATTTGTTCAGAGTATATTTGTAGCGTTGTTAGCTAACACTATACAAATCATATACAAACATACATATGTACATATGTACATCTGCCCGCAACGCGAAGCAGAATAAGCGAAGGTCCGCTTTCGGTTTCTGCTTTACTATTGCTTACGCAGTCGTTGCCAATGACTTGCAGTTGTTGTTGTTTTTCGTTTTAAAAATTTGATTGAAAACCATAGCACATATTTATTACAATCAAACAACAGTGCTCGATTATCCAATGTATACATACATACATACGAATGTACATACATGCTATATATGTACGTACACAGGCATACATACATACATACATATGTGTGTACATATGCATGCATGTTTCTCTTTACTTTTTCATACAAAGACACGAACTGTTGCTTGTTCTGTGTGTGAGTGTGTGTATATGATGTGCCCAACATAAAGTTACTAACGAAAACCGTAATGCCAAATGTACTAAACAAAGAAAAAATTACTTTTAAAAATGTTAAAAATTTTTTATTAATTAACATTTCTTGCTCTGTCAGTGCCAGACGAATGAACATACATACATACATACATAGATGTGTACATGTATATAGATGTGTACATGTACATATATGTGTACATATGTATGTATGTGTGTACATTCACACATTAGTGTCTCACATTTTGCTTTGGCTATTTCAATCGTTTGCACGCAACTACACGAACAGCTGTTTGTATGTGTGTGTGTGTTGGTGTGTGTGTATGCATACTTAGTTGTCCCCAACTGTTTAATATTTTGTATTGTTTGTTCTGCCTGCATTTGTAGAATGCATATTTTGAAAATCCTTGAACGCAAAGTTATAGATTTAGTTACGTAGATTACAGTCCCCAAATTTGAAATCGATCGGAAAAAATTTATAACACAAACTTTTCATTTGAAAAGGTGAATAAATATTAAAACCCCAATAATTCAAGCTCCACCACAAATTTCGAAAATCCGAGTATGCCGTTTTGTTTGTATTCTTTTATAGATTATAAAAATCAAATTTAAAGTTGATCGGTGCAGAAATGCAGAATTTTTAAACAACTTTGGAGCTCGATTTCCCCCCTTTGGAGCTTGAATTTTCCAAAATCCCTTCTTAGTGGGCACCTTCACTATTATAGGATCCTTGAGCCCAAATTTCAGCTTCATAGCTCTTGCCGTTTGGGCTGTTGACGCGGTTTCCTTTTGTGCCCCATTTTTTTTTACAGGAAAACTCCCATATTTCAGTCCCCAAAAAAAATTTCAAAAAACCAAGTATTCAGTTTTTCTTGGAATTTTTCTGAGAGTATACAAAATTTAAAATTAAACAGATGAAAATTGTAGTTTTTTCATACAAACTTTGGAGCTCGATTTTTAGTTCCATACGCCTTATGTGAATACGCAGAAAATGTATATTTTAGAATTTCCCTCCCTCCCCCCTCTCCCCCGCAAATCGTAACTCCCGTAATTCTTGGAATTTCGAACTAAAATTTTGCGAATACCCCCATTTAATTATTATGTGTCCGTATGCCGTATGTCACTATGACCGATGTAACAAGAAGTTAAAGCCATAGATACATTTGCTGCTGCAACGCTGCTCAAGCGCTGCCCGCGGCTGTTGTTGATGCTGGTGCTTTGGTTGACTGCACACATGTTTACACAGGCACGAATAGATGCGCATAGGCATACATACACTCACACAGACG